AAAATAATTTTTAGTGTATTTTTAGTGTATCTTTTTATTTGGTGGCTTGAGTTTCCGAAAACAGAGTTGAACTCCCATCATTAGTCAGAAAAAAGACTATAACTCTGATTCCATCTAAGTTTCTGTTCATCATCTTCATTCTACCAAACCTGACCAAATGGCAAAATACTGAAGTTTATATACACATGCACACAAAACAAAAAAAAAAATTAAAAAATCTTAGAAACTAGTCTTTGAAACTTTTTTTCTTTTTCATTCTTTTTGAAACATTGTGTAAAGGATGACACATTTTTGCTTTTGTTTTTTTGTAAGTTTAGATAAGATTTTGTTTGTAAAATGAATGTAAATCTGATGAGGTGAATTTCGTTAACAGATAATTTTTATATTTAAAGCAAAAGATATTCTAAGTAAGTTGTTAATGTCATTCAGATTTAATATTTATCAACCTTTTCTAATGAATACTTCAATCTAAGACAAACATTTCAGACAGAATGTCAAACAGGAAACTTTAAAGGTGTAGGCTTTTGTTACTGACGTATGTTTTCATAAAATTTGAACATGTTTAAAATAACATGGTGATATGAGAAATGGTCACAGATTGAGTTTTTAATTTTTGGAGCAAACTGAGATTTTGCATAATAGGAACAAAATCAATTATTTAGAATTAATGTATAGAATATATTTTGAGGTAATAAATTTAAATGCAAAAATTTTGATTGGTATTCCTTTAAACTAGAAACTGAATACAGAGTTGAAAATTATTTTCACTGAAAACATTTACACACAAAAAACTAGCATAGAAAATTTATAATCTTTTAGGTAACAGAAAAGATATCTATAGTTTACATTACAAAAATAATCTGAAAAACTATGGATTATCATTTTTATTTATTTTTTTTTTTTTACAGTATTGAGTTAGTATTTCTATCAGTTTTGAGTATTAGATATATTTACAGCGTACATTTTATTTTTTGGAATTAAATAAGATCCTTGTATTTTTACCTCTATAAATTATGGTAATTTTTTTTTGTTTTATTTTTTTTAATTAATGCAAGGCTCAAGGGCCACTTAAGGTAGAGAGTTGCTGAATGAGGTATGTAATATGAATAGAAGTAAGTAGAGATTAACAGGATAGAAAATGATTGACTTTTGACCTGATAAATTTAAGATTGTAGTGTTCAGGGGAGCATCCATATGGGAATATGTCCTATAATGTAGCAGTTGTTGGAAAAATGATATTGAGTGTAACTTCATCCTTATGATTGGAATGTAGAGGAAATGAGTGATTTGACTGGATGGATGCAGCATGGTGAGTCTTAGGTATAAAGGTCTGACCTGGAGAAACATTAAAAAGCATAGCTCATCTTCAGATTTACCATAGAAATAGCAATAGGCTGGAGACATTGCATCTGTGGGAAAGAGGCTGCTGAGTGGAAAATAAGTCATCTCATACAAGACAGTGTCAATAATTTGGAACTCTATCAAAGCTGAAAAGTGAGGATTCAGTTGCTTTAGCCCAGATGTGGTAGCAATATTCCATTTTTAATCAAATGGGATTCTTGTAAAGATAAAATATATGGCAGAAGGAGTCGAGCACCTGGAATGATAGAAGAGCCAACCAATTTTTCCATCATCTTTACCAATGGATTGTATGTATAGGTTCTACTTGAGGTCTAAAGAACCAATAGATGTTCAGAGCATGGATCCTTTTTGAGAATGCAACCGTTCATCATGTCTAAAGAAAACTCCGTCGAAATTAAATTAGTTTGGCTTTTAAGGTATTGAAAGTTACAAACAAGTTTTTCCTTATTGAACAATTAAGGCTAGTTCAGACAAGAGATTGGGTTCAAGGCTCCAAACTATTTTGATTTTTAATAATTAAGAATGGCCAAAGATTCCTCATAAAATTTTATGAAGAAACTAATCGCATAGAAAAGTTCATAACATAAAAAACAATAATTAGAGAAAAATCTATAAAGATTGTCTTACTTTTATAAAAATAGAGATTTGTGTTTATCAAATTTGTATTTACTATTATTTACACTTCTAATTAGAAATTCATGCCACTAAACCAATTGGAAAATGTTCATTACCAAATATTTACTGGAATTCAAAAAATCAACTAAAATCATTTAATGGATTTTTATAATTATTCATTGATTACTGAAGCTAATTATTACATTGTTAATTTGTAAGACAATTAGAAATATTTTTACATGAGGAAATGCCATCATAATTTAATTTTCTATCTCAATAAAATATTGTATTATAAAGGTGGCTTTGTGTTAAAATTTCCTGAAAGATTAAATTTGTTTTTTTTTTTTTTTGTCATTAATCTGTTGAATGTTTTAAATTTAAAAATGGAATATAAACAAAACTACTGCTTTTGTTTAACATCTTTTTAATTTTTATAAATTAAAAATATATTCTATACTTATGTGTAAGACATAAAAAAAAATTAATATCTTTCTTATTGAAAATTTTAAAAGAATTGATTTTAAATATTTTTAATGTTGATTTTTATGTTTTAATAATCTGTAAATAAAAGACATTCAAAAATAGTAGACCATTGTATTTTTAGAATTTCTTAACCCTTAAAAAGTGGGAAAATATTGCACAAATATACATGCCAAATGGATAAAAAACAAAATTAATTTTTTAAAGAATAGTATTTACACTTTTAATTATATACAAAAACTATAAAAATGGCATTTTAAGTCTTAGATTATGAAAAAGTAAAAAGGAATTCAAACAAATGTTAGGTTCTGATCCTCCTTAAAACCTTCCCTGCACAATGGAGTTGTACATTCTTTACACCATTTTTTGCTTTTTTGTTCTTTAAGAAGCATACATGCAAACAGCACTTGTTCTTGCAGTTTTATTTGCAGACAAATACTCCAAGAAAAGAATGAATCTTAGTAAATAGTAACCTCATGAATTCTAAAGTTGCTAATTAATCATTTAGACTTGAATCATGAATGAATAATGCCTGTGTCATTGGAAAATGTTTAAATCTTCAATTGATAATACCTGCTGTTTAAGGCTTAATTGTATTTGTTAGTTGCATATGTTATGCAATCGATCTGTAGAAGGTGCTATTTTGTACCACCAACTAAAGTTAATGAATGTTCATTGAAGAGAATTTGATGAAAAATATTTTACTTTCATGATAGATCAAATAAATGAACTATAAAAAATTCTACTTTTTGCATAAAAAAACTTACATTTTGGACAGTAATAAATTTAATAATTCTATGTTGACAAAGTTTCTTTTCTTGATCTTCCAGACAATGGTGATTAATAGACTCTATTTTTTCTTTTTTTTTTTTTTTTAATTGGTATATTTCTTTTTCACCTAAGCTAATCAATTATCTGGTGTTCATATAGGTTGAACATAAGAAGAAAACAACTTTTAATCATTTTTTTGTCATGAGATATATCTACATTTAAGCAAGATTTTTGACTCTCATGTAGTATAAACATCTGCCATAAAACATATTTTTCATCATATTTTAAGTAAAAGATACATAATGTCAGTGCAGTCAGTAAATTAATTTTCATTAGATTTTGTTTTTATTGAGTGAGTACTAAATTTTTAATTAAATTTACCTCTCAAAAATGGCATAATCAGTTAAATTTGAGAGGAAAAAATTAAAAAAAGTAATTAAAACTCATTTTATGTATGCAAAAATAATTTCTTGACTAATTTTATTCTCTTCTATTGCAATTGATATTAAAATATCAAAGATATTTAAATTATTTTAATTAACAAGGCTGTGGTTATAGCTTGTTACCAAGCAGTATTACCCTCAGCCATTTTCAATAGCAATTATACATTATCAATATTGAAAATTCAATACTGAATAAGTAAAGTTTGAGGATTTTCTGTTATGCAAAATTGAATTCATACATAACTATAAGTAAATGTTTTTTAAAGTCTTATCAAATCTTAGAATAAATTTCCTGATCTTACTTCTCCTTATTACAATGTTATTCTCTCTTCCATTTTTTTTTTGAAGAATCTTTGTATCTTCTATTCACTTGGTTCCAAATCTTCCTTTTAAGATTGCATCTCAAAATTTTCTGTTTTGAATTGCCCATGTCAGATTTTACTAATGTAGCAATTTGAGTTTTTCTCCATGACTTGATCGACTTAAATTCTTAAGCATAAATGTTTATATTCTTTGAGAATATTTCATTGAAAAATTACATGTTTCATGTAAGGTACAAGACTTTTGGATAGTAATCAAAATTACTAGTTTTATTTTTCTTCTGAATTTTTGTATCTGTCCTGATGTGTTTTTAATTGCATCGTAAGGACACTTTTCTATTTAGGAATTAAATTACAATTTATTTTGAAAAATAATTGCTGAATCATTTTAAACTCTTGATTTTCTTATTTAAAATTAAATCTTTTTCAGAACTTTTATTAGTATATATATTATGCTGCTGCAACAAGTGTATGGGGGATTATCTAATCAAATTAAAATCATTTTAAATTTTATTTAGCTAAAGGATTTATAAATTATTACAATAAACTGTTTTAAAATATTCATGTGTTCATGTTGGTTTGTGAATTTTGAGTCTGGCTGCTGGATGTAAAACCTTTTTATTTTATTTTGCCACAATTTGAAAATTATTTTTCTTAAGTAAGTTAATTGGCACCAGGTATTGAGCTGACAACCTTTGTGGCCTCTAGTCCAATGTTTACCATTGAGTTATCACCCAAAACTTGCATGTGCCACTTGATCTGTAAAGTATGCAGTTTTCTGTTTGTTTTCTTTCTTTTTGACTCCTTTCCAAATTGCCAAATCACCCTTCAAACTTGTCACTATTTATTATGACACATTGTCAAGTTTTGTTTGTTTGTCTTGGTTATATATTCTTATTTTTGGAGCCAAATGTGACTTCTCAGATCTCACCACTTGCCTTTACATAGGTGGGCTACCTGGACTGCTGAATGATGAAATAATAGCACAAACTGGAGTTTCTTGTAAAAGTCTTATTCCACAAAGAAGTACTTGGTGAAATGGCTTCCAAGATCATGCCCACAGGTATTGATCTTTGCTCTCCTTTGTTAGGATTGCTTCAGAATCTAGTTTTTCTCTAATGCAATAAGCATTAAATCATTATAATTGATTTGTATGAATCATAATGATTTAAACATGTCTTTTAGCTGGTAGCTGTTTATCACAATGATTTAAATGATGAGTTTTTCATCTCTTCATTTGTTAAATAATATAAGAAAAAAGAAAAGGACTTTTTAGAATAATTCTTTGCTTCATTACAAATGTATAACAGAGTGGTTGAAAAATTGGACTGAAGATTTCAAAGTCTGCAACTCGAACCCTGGTGCTGGATGGGTGGTGCTTATTAACTCTAAACTATCAACAGAAAGGAAATGTGTAACTTTCAAATCTACAGGTGTAGGATATTTTAGCTAGAATGGCATTAACTTGATAATAAGTGATGAGGCACCTTTTATTATCATTTGCCAAGAATATTACAGTAAAGCTGCTTGGGTAAAACTGAGTGTCCCTGTCATAGAATACCTTTGATTTGCCTCATAATGATCAACCAACAATATTGACAAGTCATTGGATTTGTCCATTTGGCTTATTTGGTTTAAAGGCCAAAGTTAACCATGTTCAACTAATCAATATTTGTTTGGAATCATTTCATTGCATGTACATTGTCCTTTTGTTCAATTTTTCAGTGTAGAGTTTTATATCTTAAGAAATTGTCTACTCTCATAATGTATTGCATTGTTGAACAAATCCTTTGCTCTTTATATGGCTTAACTGAATAAAACTCTTACTCGAATTGCATTTATTGTACAGCTTTGTGCACGTTTTTGGAATATCTTATATTAAAAGTAAGTAGATAAACTAGCAAGTTTATAATAAGATAATGTATATCTTGAATTCACTTAGCTTGAAATAATTGGCATTTTTTACTAATTGTTGCTATTAAATCAATACATCCATCCATGGTTGCAAACTGTGTTTTTCAGTTTTTTCTCCTTTTCCTATCTAGATCATTTTCTTTCTTCTAAAAAGTATTATATATATATATATATATATATATATATATATATATATATATATATATATAATATGACTTCTAGATTAACAAAAACTGATAATTGTTATCAGTTTTATAAAATAGTTGTTTTTAAACAATGTTGTTTGCTTATTGTTTTGTCCCTTTTTAGCTATCCTGCTGCATCATGCCAGCCATTAAGTTTAAGAGAGTCACAGCAGAATACTTGGCTGAGAAAACGGCTCAGCAGACCAAGCCGGCAGCACAAGCAGCCACAGCGGCAACAGTAGCTTCTTCTGCAACAAACCCTGTGTCTGCAGCTGACGAACAGCCTGGCAGCCGAGCCGAAGCCCCCACATCTGCTAGTAAGACTGAATCAAAAAACAAAAAACAGACTTCTGTTGAGTCTGATAAATCTGGCACTGGATCCAAGAGTCTCTCAAAAATAGACGAGATGGTGCTCACAGAGAAACGCAAGAGAAATATTCCTGCTGCTGATCTGAAACTTATGGAATGGTAAGCATCTGGTTTTGTAGCGAAAAATGATCTCATTTACTAAAATTATAGAAAATAATTGTAACTTTTTCTTTTTTTTTTTTTTTTTTTGTATTAATGAACTATTGATCTATATGCTTTTGAAAAGTTTGTGGTCAATATGACAGGAATTTGTGCTTTGCTGCTTTCTGATATTCCTCAGCCACTCATCTTAAGAGATTGTACATAATGATGATTGACCATTGTTTTTAGATGTGCAGTGATTATTCTGTGAGTGAATAAATTTTAAATATCTATGCTATGACATAATCAAGATGTTGATGTTCAACACTACTTTAAACCAAAGGTTAGGAAGGAAACTCTCATCATTATTGGAAAGAGCAATAACTGAACTTGAGAAACCTATTTTCCTAAAAAATTGTTCTAATAAAGATTTTATAAATTTCAACTGAAGGTAGCACTGGCTGCTCGGTCAATGAATGCCGAATATTTCCTTATAAGGAAATTGCTAATATTACCATTTTTGTAACAAAAGTAGTCTTTGGCATTGACATCTTGCATCTTTTTTCTGTCTGTTAAATCACACTTGGATAAAGCAAAGGAAATAATTCTTTCATACAATGCATATTGCCTGATATTTGGTGGTGTTTTAATGAATAAATTATTTTAACTATTTTCTTTTACAGGCTTGATGATAATTTTGAGGAGAAAGAAAGTTCTTCTATTTCTATCCTCACATTATATGACTACTATGCTGAGACATGCCAACTAAATGCTTCCAAGGTTGTGGACATCCCAAATTTCAGAAAGGTGCTTTTCTTCTTGTTTTCTAGATATAGCTGCAAATATAACTCTCTTAGTTTTATTCACAGTTTTGGAAGTATCAGTAAAAAGAAATACTTTTTCTGCATATTTAGATGTTGATTTGTCATCTCAAACTCTATTTGTTACTCTTATTTTTGATTCAGAAGAGAAAAAATCCAATATTTATTTATTTATTCTTTTTTTTTTTTTTTGTATTTCAAATAAAAATGTATAATGAATTTCAGTAGGACATCACCATTTTAGAAAGCACCAACCACAATTTTACTTATTTGTGCTTGGCCGAATCAGACTCCATTGTCAAAACTTTTATTAAACTAAAAAAACATTTCAAAGGAGTAAAATATGAAAAAAAAAAAAAAGAAAACGAATCCATTAAAATGCCCTCAAAGTAATCAGATCCTGAGGAGAAGAAGTCTAACTTGAACCTTTTTTTTTTTTTTTTATACTGAAAACTTTTGGTCATACATAGAATTCTTAGCCCAACCAGAAAAACATTAAAAACAAATTCTGATGGTTAGATTTAGGGGAATTGATTGAGCTGAGAATTTTTCAGCACTCTATATGTAAAGCCCTCTCCTCACCAATCTGTGAGAATATTTTGGGAACCTATCTACTGGTGATAAGGTTTTATTCTACTTGGAAAGTGGATTGTATACTTTAATGGCAGTATAATTGTTAAACAAATATTACAACAAAATACTTTCTGGTTCAGAGCCAAATTAAAATCAGGGTGGGATGCACTTTTTTTGCTAATTTCTGTTGCTTATGATTTCTTTTGATTATGAACAAAAATATTTTTTTGACTATATTTCTGATTTATTTTTATATTGAAAAATATTTGAACCTTGAAAAGTGTTTCATGTCAAACCTCTTTCTTTATTCTTGTCAAACATCAAAAATTTACAATAGATAAAGAGAGAATGACTTTTTTTTTTTTTTTTTTTTTTGCCGATTTTTGAAAAATTAATTTTGACATTTTCAATACCTGATATTTTAATGAACAAAATTTAATTGACTTGTTTCTTTTCTGTAATCAGATTGTGCGGCAAAAATTTGGCAAAGGCATTGGCATCAAAGAAAACTCAGCTTACAAAGGTTTGCTTAAAGAGAAGAAGCCCAAAAAGAAACCCACTGTTCAAGCTGAATCCCTTCGTTTAAAAATGAAAGATATTATTGATGAAGCACTGAAAGAATCTGGAAATCCTGTATCCTTTTAAGCTATCATCTAATTTACTTTCTTAAAAAGAAATTTTACATAATGCACTGAAAGTTTATTACCCTTTTCAAAGAAGTGCATATGACCTTTAGGGTGATGTAACTTGAAACTGGTTGGCTTCTCCATAGTTCTTAAGTGTTATTTGTTTGATTGCACTGTTTATGTATGCCTTTTATTTGAGGCCTTTGACTTTGTAAGGTATTCTTCTATCAATTCCCACAAGTGTGTGTGTGTGTGTGTGTGTGTGTGTTGCAAAATGTTCAGAAGATGCTAGTAGGCAATTTTATACAATTTGTATCAGATCCTCAAATAAATACATCTTGAATTTCTTACTATTATGTGAATGGATTTTAATTTGCTATTAAAATGGTTTCATGTTGAATTATACCATTACTGATTAAAGTGGAAAAATTATTAGATAACAATGTTGATGCATGCAGTGAGGTTGAATGAAGTGTCTTGCCAAAACTAAATTAAATGGGATATATTTGCTGTAAATTTAAATATTTGTATCCAAAATGAGTGTTATTTAATTTCTGTTAGTTAAAAAACTGCCATTTGATTTTTTTTTTTTGTTATTGGATATATTTGAAGCCATTCTGAAAGTTTTCATGAGAGCCAAACTGTAAACTGAGTTATATCTTGTGATAAAACTATCTCCACAAATCAGCTGCCATATTGCTTAACATTTTCTCAGAAGAAAGGTGTCCGTTTCCACTGGTTGAAACAATACATTGGAGCCAAATATCCTGCATTAAGAGTAGATCTGAAACCTGGCCTTTTAAAAGTTGCTCTAGAACGCCGAGTACGATTTGGTACAGTTCAACTAGTAAGTATCTTTTTGTCGATGCATTACTTCCTAACAATTACCTTTGCTACAGAAGGTTGTTAATTTGGTTTTGTTACGACAAGTAATATTGTTTCTGCTCTCTAACAATTTATGTTTATTCCCCTGAGACAATTCAAATAATTTTAATTGTAATTTATTGTTTACATGATAATTTAGCATAAAATATTTGATATCAACAAAACTGAAGTGGTAAAAGTTGTGAATAACCTCTTAAAAGAAAAGATAAATTGAAACCAACTCTGAAACAGAAATTTGAAAATTGTTGTTGAAGTTGTCACATTTGAGTTTTTAGGATTCTCTTTTTGGGAATGTTGGATAATTCTGTTTGGGCCTTGGCATGTTGAAGATGTTAAAATAAATGTTTCTTTTAGATTATTTGTTACAAGAATATGTCACAATGTTTTGCTTTTAGGTTCGTGGAATTGGTTATTGTGGATTTTATCGTCTTCCCATGCCAGACACAACCGAGGAACCTAAAATCACCAAACCTAAAAAGAAGGATGGAGAGGACAAAAGTGATGGCACTGCTGATGAGGGAAATAAAACAGAGGTGGGAATCATTTATTTCTGATTTGAAAACTAATTCTGCAGCCATCCCAATTGTCTCACTTCAATTTTTCTCTTATTCTTGTAATTACCTTCCATCTGCATGATAATTTACAAACTCCTTAATATCTTTCTTTAATCCTTGGGAGTCTTTAAAATATCTCAAATCCTACAAGAATTTGTACAGTTTACTATGTTCCTTGCAAACCATCTTTAACCTTTAGCACCTTACATTATTAATATTACTTCCCTTTCCACTGCATTATTTTTCAAAGTGTCTCAATTGCATTGTCCTTATTGTTAATTTCACTCAAAGTTGTTTTCTGTTATAGCAGGATATGACAACACAGCTATGAAATTCAAACACACTATTATTCAGAGATCGGTAGCCTTCAGTTGCAGGATAAACTTTTTGTGCAGCATACAAAGTCACATACAGAGTGATAAAGGTTAATGAGTTAGTCATAAAAGGTGCTTTTATATACAGAACAAACCAGATATTTGTGAACGCATCTTTTGTGGGCCATAAATAGAAGACATTTTTATGCTTTGTAGCATGTGCCAAATTTTTACATTCTCTTTTTTTTTTTTTTTTAAATATGTGTGTGTGTGTGTTCCAATCTGACAAAAGACTAAAAATTCACACTGTACATGTAGCACTTGATGCTGATGGGATGACTCTGTGATAGTGGTCAGGTAGACAGGAGAAACGACGAAGAGGTACCCAAATTGACACATGCCGAGTCCCTGTTGTCTGTGTTGATTCTTGGGTTTACGAGCAGTGAGGGCCATGTCATTTTTTCCCCACTTTTTTTGCAGGACCGCATGGTCGATGTGATTACCTTCGAGACATGCTAGACATGGTGATGAGGTCCTAGACCAGTATAGGATATATTCCCACGGGATTTTGTTCCCTCACACATGGCCCCATGTGGGGTTGGCAAAGAATTTTAATACAATCAAACCCCCACCCCACCCCCACCCAAATTTGTGTTAAAAGCCACCATTGTGGATATTATATTCGACATGGAAAATAATCTATTATCCAAGAATGAAGTCACTTAGGGTGATGCAGGGAAGCTTGCTTTGGGGTTGTTTTTTGTTAAAGGATTTCTCCCCCCCCTTTTTTTTTAAGATAAGTTGAACATGTGTACAGTTTCTTTTGAAAATATACTGATATATAATGCTTCTTTAAACTCTACTTTCTCATCTAATAAGAAAGATTTTCTTAATTGTATAGAATTGTCCAAAAAAAAAAAATGATAATATAAAGAAAGGTTTGTGTTGCCAATTTTAAAACCATTTCCTTTTGTCTAATTAGTGAACACTGTATTTATACTTTACTTTATTTTCAAAATTCACATTTAAACAATTTTAGAAATATTTTTTAATGCAAATATTAAGCTGGGTTTGGTCAGCATTATATAATTTATATGATCACTCTTTCAGATTTATGATTGTCTTAGTTATATGGAGACATATTTTCATTATTAAATCATTTTATTCATCAAAGAGTGTATATGCAAAATTGAGAAGATATATTTATCCTGTAAATATATACACAACTGTTTATACCAAGATATTCTATTTAAGTTTTTCAACATTTTACATTAATTTTAAAACTGTAAAAAAAAAAACATTTTAAAACACTTGAGAAATATTTATTTTGAAAGGACACATTTTATTTGGACAATATTGTAAAGAAGCCAATGTAGCTCTTAGAGGCAGTCTATTGAAATGGATTGCATTTATTATCCATTGGGGATATAAGAATGACCTTTTGTTATTTTTTTATTTTTTATTTTTTTTTTTTTTTTTTTTGTCATGAAGGATGCAGGTGAGAATGGTAGTGACGCAAAAAAAGAAGATGGGGAGAAAGCTGGCGATGAACCCGAGAAAAAGACTCGTAAAAGAAAAAGTCCCAAGGAAGATTCTAGCAACGTGGAAGTTAAGAAGTCGAGAAAAGCAAAAAAAGGTTATTTCCTTTTTAGAATTTGATTGGTGAAATATCAGTGTAAACAATTTGAGAATTGAACAAATAGAATTTCCTTCTATTGAACAGCTTGCTTTTTTTTTGTTTTGTTTTTTTTTTTTTTTTTTTTTTTTTTTTTTTATAGTCTGGGTAGGACTGAAAAATTCTTGGTCTGACCAAGAAGGGAATTGAAAAAAACAATGTTATGATTGGCTAATTGGTGATAGTTTCGGAAGTGGGTCATACTTTCCAAACTCTGGCCAAGAACTTTTTAGCACACTCTTGTACAAGTTCTGTTTTAATCTAAATTCTTGTTTTTTTTATGATTCCTGCTGCTATTCACTTATTGTCAGCCTTGTGAAGCTTGCAAAAAAACTTGTAACCTCTGTGTAGATGTCATAAGAAAATACCATCCTTGTATATTGAGGTGCTTATTGAATATTAATCATTTAAACTGATTTATTCTATCTTATTTAAACAAAATGATTAATACATGTTTTGGTTAATACAACTTGATTTGTTTGAAAATTAAAGGTATTTTTAGTAATTAAGAGGAAAAGAGTTGTCCTTTTAAAGAAAGCCTAATATAATAACAAATAAGAGTTGATTTTTTTTTTTTTTTTTTTTTTTTTTTTTATTCTTGTAAGTAAAATATAGTTATAAAAGACTTTCCATGAATAAAAATTAATGCAAATATTCAGCGGATGACAGGATACTTTGACATTCGTTATATTTTTGTTTAAAACTTTAGTTACCAATAATTTTGTCTGTTTTTTTGTTTGCGTGAGGAAAAACTTATTTCTAATTTGTTAAGATAAAGTTTTAAATTAATCTTTTGATTTTGTAGGTAAAAAGAAGAAGAAGAAGAAGAAGAAGCCAAGACACAGTGGTGAACTAAGAATTGAGGATACCTTTTCCTTGGCTATCACCTTTATGTCTGAACCTAAAGAAGCTTCTGTATCAAGAATTCGGCGTTACATTCAAGATTATTATCCTGAAGTTAATGCTGAAATGAGGCAAGTCCCTTTCACTTTGTAGACAAGGAAAATCTTGCTCTTCTTTGATATATATAATTTATTAATCCAATTTAAAAAATCCTGCACTTGTAAAGCCAAAGAAAAGCAGATGACTGCATATTTAACTCATATTTTCATGGTGTCTGTTGAAATTAAAACCTTTTCCCCACCCCTTATATCTAAACTATAATTATGAACTATAATGTTAGAAAGTAAAAATTTCATTGATTTATTTTTGAAAATTTCCAAGCTTTTAACTGAAATGAAGAAAAAACAAACTAAGCAAAATGATTGCAATGTATGGTGGGGGAAAGCATTTGAAGATATGAGTTAAACATCTGCATATCTATATTATGTTTGTTTTGAAATATTTTTTTCGTTTCTATTAATTATTGTAAGCCGAACTGAAAATGACAGCATAAATTTTTCCTTCTCAACATAGAATTTTACTCTTTACATTTATCCCCCCTTTCTATGGAAAGTTTTGCTTGCCTAGCTTCACTTTCATATGACACAAGAAGCTATATACAACGAAAAAGATTCTGAGTGAAGAGAGCCTGATTGATTTGAAAATCAACATTTGAAATTCAAGCTTTTTACATGGGTTTGAATCCCAGCCACGCTGAAAGCAAAGTAACTGTTTCAACTGAGATGAGCCACAAGTTTTATATCAATAAGATTTGCTGCAGATTAAGGCGATATTTATTTTTATTGTTTTTAAAAAAAATTTATGACTGAAAATGTAATGTTGATGTAAAATAAGAAACTTAAAAATAAGAAGTTATTTTCTGCTATTAATTCTGTTTTAAGTTTTGAAAAAGAACTTTTCAAAGACTCTATAATGTATGACTGCTACTTTTTATAGGTTGAAAAAAGCATTGGAAAAGGGTGTTGAAAGGGGATTGTGGGAGCAAGTGACTGGCACTGGAGCCTCTGGGACGTTCCGACTTTTGATTGATGAATTCAACCCAGGCAAATGTATGTACAAACAGATGTAACTTTTTACTTTTGTTGTTCTTCAGTCTTTAACAGTGAAGTAGCAAAAATTCTTACACTGTTTTTTATTTTATGCAGCAGAAAAGGTCATGAACACTCCCAAATTCATTCCTATTCGGATAGAAATCTGTTTTTGAATTATTGTTTTGTTTTGTAAAATTGTTATTTGTTCAGGTATTCAGTGGAAGTAGTTTCTATATATTCTAATGAAACCAGTTATTCTAATGGCAAGCATTAATTTGTGTTGAAGTCAATGGAACTAAACTCTTGGATTTCTTTTGTTCTTTTATTTTTTTTTTTTTTTTTTTTTTTTTTTTCCTTGGTAAGACTTGCCAGATACAACTTTTTAGCCAACTTTCACAGTTGTGATCACTAAATAGGCCAGTGCATTGGCAGTCAAAGTATTTGTATATTGTGTGTTTGAAATTGCAAGAAGCTTAGTTATTAGGAAACCAGAAATAAAGAACTGAAGCTATTATTTTAATCTGCTTTATCCATAGTTCATCAATTAGATTCCAGAGGACAAATAATTTCTTTTATTTCATTGAAAATAACTTGCATCTGTTTTTTTTTTCTCTCTCTCTCTCTCTCTTTGTGCAGGTGAAACAATGGAAGACATGGTGTGTTTGGCCATTGTAGCTACCCATGAGCCGAAACAGGCCTCTGCTTTGTTGATCAAACGTTATGTGCAGGAATTTCATCAAGATTTCAACATTGAGGCTCGGCCACATCTGTTTAAGAATGCCATCTCTAGAGCTATAAAGAAAAACATTGTCAGGTAACTTTGTTATTTGAAAAATATCTTAATCACTCATCATAAAGTAGCCAATGGTTGGATTTTATTTCCTGATAAGAATCTATCATACTTTACATCTTATAAACATCTTATTTACATTGATATTGTATTTAACATAGTTAAGTTTTAACTTAAATGTGTTTTTAATTTTGCTATGTAGAGTCTAATCCCATGACAGGAAAAAAAACTCTGAAATTTCCTTCTAAGGCATCTGAACCTTGTTGAACTTTGGTCATGTAAATTTTTACTATTGGGCCAGATTGGCAGATTCATCAGATTTTCAAAATTTTTAAAGATAGATTTTTGTTTTTATTGAAATTCTAGTTGTCACCAAAACCTGATGAGATAAAAACAATTGTTTTGAAAGAAAAGTCTCCACAAAATCTAATTCACCTATAACACTGTTGCTGCATGCTTTGCTGAATGCCACTTTTACTCTAGTCTGTGTCCGGCAAGCTCACACCAATCCTGCGTTCCCATGTTGTGTTTCAATATACGCAGGAATATCAGTGAAGAACTGTCGAAGATCAGGCTTGACCCCTCTCTGTCCTGGTTATGCTTGAAATTTAATTAACTTCAATGACGCTCATTAACCAGTGCAAAAATAACAACTTTTATTTATGGTACTATGATTGATTAAGATCAGGAATACATAAACAAAAGGGATTTGTAGAAGTTTCCTTGTATAAGGAATTCTTAAACTGGGAGGTTGACTGGTGGTTGCAGTTATGGCTAAACAGCCCAGAGTCGTTCAACTATTTAAATGAAGGCAGTTGATTGAGGGAATTTAAAAAAAAAATGTGCAGAGAACAGGACTTTAACTGATTGAGGCACCACAGTCATCTGGCAGGGAGTGTTGGTCTCTTATTGGTGAGACAAACTGCTCTTTTGCCGATTGCTTTTATGGGGGTGCAAACTCCAATTGTACTGCTCTGATTGACCAGCCAATAATAATGCTTTACCAATGGTCTTGTCTCATATGCTTTGAAAGGGAGGAAGGAAAGCCTCCATGAACCCAATATGATTGGTGGTCCAATGAAAATAATGGCCCTGTGTCGTAAGTATTGGAGGGGGAGATGAGAAGCTCCATCCCAGCCCTTCTCTCACTGGCAGGCCAATCAAAATTGTTGCCTTGCATTGTTTATATTCACTCTCAGTGGCCACCCTCATTTGACCTGATTATCACAGGTCAATCTAAAAATGTGTTAATATCCCTGATCAACACAAACCTGACCTATAAAGAATCGCTTTGTGTCGCTTATTCCAACATACAATTCCTTTATCAAAATTAACATTTAAGTTAAACAGACCTAAGACTGTACCAATCCCACCCAAGCTTACAATTTCACCTCTCACACTATACTCGTAAGTGACACAAACCAGATAATTCATGGTATCACATTGTTTTAACATGATGATATTTTTCTTTAGAAATAAAAAGTAGACACTAGTCATGGTGTCATACACCTGTACCAATCAGCTTTGACTTTTACCTCACACAATCTTATACAGCTTGCGCTGTTAAGTCCTTTTCATTCGAGAAGTATAAACTACAGTCGAAATTTGTTAAGGAACTGGAATATAGCTTGGATTAGGAATCTGTATATTTTTTATATGACTTTTAGGAAAAAACTTAAAAAGAATTTTTATTATGTCATTTTGAGCATTTGGTATAGAAAGTAAAAAAAGGAAATGTGATTTGATTATTTTTCAAAATTAAAAAGATGGATTTTTGTTTTTAGTGAAACTTGTATTCAAGCAGCCAACAACATTTAATCTAATAATTTATAATTGCTATGAGAACAGTATTAATATTTAAGGAATACCTTAGACTGTGTTGTTCCTCTTACTCTGCTTTTTGTGCATATGAACATTATCTTTTTTTTTTTTTTTTTTTTAATGCAGGCAACTTTCTGGTATTGGGGCCAGTGGCACATTCCAGCTAATTCAGCAGTTCATACCGTCCCCTGCAATGTTGGCTGGCGATCACGAATCTGAAGACGATGACCAGGCAAGCAGTGATGATGACGAGCCGGCCGAGCAGTATTATGTCCGACCCACAAAGTCACGTGGACGGGGACGTGGCGTGAAAATGATCATTGGCAAGAAAGCCAAACGATGAAAACCAAAATGCTGAGGACAAGAACTTTGGTGCATTTGTTTGTGCCACAAATCATATAAATAAATCCGTACATATGCATTCTGCCAATCCCATTTTACATTCTCTCATCTTGCATCAAGTCCAAAACTCATTACATGGGCTTTTATCTGTTGTCACCATTCTCACCTACCCTAAGTGGCTTCTATCCACATTTTGACATCAGACCACCATATCGCTAACAAGTACACATTGACACAGACAGACATACATACATCCAATGGTGGCATTGTCTTTGGTCTTTTATTATTTCAGAAAGCTCTTTTATCTAGGAATGAGTTTTACCTAATTTCTTTCACCTCTGTTTTTGTCCTGGCCTTGAGTAAGGTGCCTGGTACATATTGTACACAACATGATAGTGCATATACGCTGGTGTCAGATTGGTAGCACGGACATGACTGTCTGATGCTTTCTTTCACCACATTGTTACTCGACATGCTCAGCTGAGGGGATCTTTGAAAACTCGGCCAAACTATTTGGGGGACATAATTTATCCAATCATTTTGGAAATTTAAATGAAAACGAAGCAAAAATGTAACTAATTATTTTGTAACTTTTTATTATTAGAGAATTTATTGTGCTGACTTTTTATTTTCATTATGAATTTTTTTTTGCTTTGTGATTGTATAAAGTCCTGCCTCTTATCTAGATTTTTTTTTTTTTTTTGTTCATTTACGTAAAATAAATGTAAAATCTTTTCTAGCTTCCACCATTTTTGTTCTTCAAAGATCTCAATTGTAGCAACTGCTGAAGAAAGTATTCTTGAAGCATCTTTTTCTCTCTCTCTCTCTCTCTCTGGTGCTTTTTTGACATCTTCTGTTTGGCATAGATTTCCTTCTCTGCACTTTCTCTGATCATGGCATCAACTCCATTCGTCCTATACAAATTCTAAAGCGATGGATTCCATAGACAAGATAACATTGGGTGAAGGTTGTATCTAATTTTAGTAGAGTTTAGTTTGTGAAGATACAGCGTTGTGTGTGCTTGTCTTTGAGGATTTGTTTTTTTTTTTTTTATGTTCTTCACATGTTTGAAAAAATTCACTCCCATCAGCCATTCATTTGACCTTTTTTTAGAGTTTATCATTCAGTAAACTTTTTTTGTAATTACTGATTTTGACTCGACCAATGCTGCTGACGATTCTTACTTTGCAAAAAATTTAATATCAAACAATCCAGAATAGTATTTGTGTTATCCATATATATTTTTGTTTAAATCCCTCAATATAATTTTTATTTAACAATCATAGAGAGACAAAACTACTCAGTGGAAGAGTTGTGTATAAACTTACTTCCATGCTTCCTTTAATATAAGAGGCATAACAGGTTAATCACCATTGCTTACTCTCTCCATGGATTTCTTATACAACATATTCTTTTTACAAAATGGCAGTCTTGTGGCTATTCACAGGCTTGATTATCTTCCCACAGATTCTTTTCTCTTTGTTTCCTACTTTCTCATTTGTCTATAGATTGATAGGAAATTTCTTTATAAAATCTTCATAATCTGAGATAAGGAAAAAGTGGACAATAATTTTGTATATTATTGCCTCTTGAAGCTGTAACCTCGACTTGGTCCAATTTATTTAAGCTCTTCACTTTCCAAATGAATTACACAATTCATAGATTGAACTTTGTACTTTCCACTGCACATATTTCTTAGTCGTGTAAATATGAAATAACACTAAAGACATTCAATACTCAAAATGCATTACTATTAGGTTATTATGGATAATTTGAAAATTTGTAATGATGTTAGCTTATAGATGTTTTTATTAGAAAAAGTGGGAACGTTAGATAAAACCGTAGCCTAGTCTGATATCTTAAAACAAATTTTTAAGATATATTTTTTTTTTTTTTTTTTCTTCCGGTTATTTTCTTTGCATTTCAATATTTGAATTTCAAAAGTTTTTAAAAGCATATTATCCACTTCTCACGAAATAACATTTTTATTTATTTCATTTGTGAAGAAAACAAATGTGGATAAAAATCCAAATGTCTTGAATTTTGCTTCATTGGTCAAATAACAATTCTCACATTTTAGTTTCTTTATGATTCTGAAGATAAAAGTTGAGCAATAAATTTTAGACAATGTTGTACCATGGAAGAATACTTCCTGCTAATTTATCATAAGGCAGGCACACTTTGGTTAAAATAATAGTTTTTTTACAGTTTGAGATATAAAAATTTCTCTAAATTTGTTCAAGCATCTAGGATAACTGTTGCCTCTATAAAAAAAGTTACAGGAAGGCCATCATCTGAACTCCTCCCCAGGTCAAGTCTGACTTATCCAAACTCATTATTCTTCGTAAAGTGATGTTCTTCATTGTGTTATTATTTTAATAAAAATGTCCAGTTTTGTACATGGGGACACTTTGCTGTGTGTAGGTTTATCATAGGAAATAAAGGCAACTTTGACTCAACCAATGGCCAAGTGTTATTTCTGTCCATCTCCAATTAACATTAGCTCAGAAATCCCTCTTAACTTTTGCCTTTGCATAAAAAAAAAAATACAATTATGCATGTCATTTAAAATCCATTTTATTCACTTCAGGCTTCAAGTGGATAATGTTAGGAACATTCATTCTACATGGCATCTTTCAAATATTGCCTTTAAATTATTACCCTATCTCCTGTTAATTTTCTATATTTTTGAGATGAGTCATCTTTGCAAATAACTTTTCTTTTCTTTACCAGCATATTCCCTTTGACCTCCTTTCAGGTCAAACAAGATTTTCTTTTTGCTATCAGTTCTTTGTTATTACATAATTGAAAAGATTTTGTTTCTGACTAAGCAGAAATGGTTGGGCTGGAGGAAGTTTTTCTTCTTCCAAGGAAGAGGGCATGCTGATTGAAATTTGTCAGAACAAGTAGTTTTTTTTTTTTTTTACTTAACAATCATTTCATCTTTGCTGTTCTTCACAAGCTACTTTCTAGAAAAAATGGTTCCAATTGCCATTTGTTAAAAGAGCTGGAAAAATTGCTCTGACATTCTTGGCTGTGATGCTTTCATCAGTGGGTCCACTCAGGATCATCATATAGTCTAAATAACTTTCTTATCTGGTTATATATTGCAGCTATGTCTTATTTGAAGCTTTTGGCGGCATTAATGTTTTTAAAGTAACATAAAATATTTAGTAATGGATTTTAATAGTGAACAAATTTTGAAAATTGACCAGAGAAATTTTACAAAAAAGGTGGTCAAGTGATCAAATAAATTTCTCTTAGTCATAGATTAGGTGTGTGCAAAAGTGTCTGGAAAAAAAAAAAACTATTCAGTTACTAGTTTTCAAACTGGAAATTTTTGCACACACCTCATGAAAAGATTTGTACATGAGATACATTTTTAATGTAAGAATTAAAATTCATTACTAAACAATTTTGATATTTTCCATAACCTCGGAAATGCTGTGAAAAGTCCTGCATATGCAAAAGAAAGTGTAACATTGATTTTTCTTAAATTGAAACTCTTGTTAAATAATGAAGACTAGAGAAATGAAATGTGATTTAATGTTAAGAATGCCTTAAAAAAAAAGAAGAGTTGAATTGTGTGTCAGGAATTGTAGATACACTGGTGTTTTCCTTTTCTTTTCTACTTTTTGTTTTGGAGCACAAAATACCCTACCTAGATATGATCAGAGATATGTCTTTCAAAACACTCTATCATGCCTTATGCATAAATTACCTAATTTAAAATTTGGAAAAATTCATGTTTTCTCAAAGGCAAATTCATAGAAAACATTTTTCTCTTAAATTCTTAACCCCGACTTACTCTTTGGTGCATGATATTGTAAGGATTATTATTTTTTAAATTTTTTTTCATATTTTCCACTCATTAAAATTTGTTTTATATTCATTTTCTATGACTTTGAAAAGATAGTGCTGTCAAAATTTTAAAATAAGGTAAATATGAGCTATGGGAAAAATGATTTTGCCGTTTTGCTACCCCCCTCCCCCTCGGAAAAAAAATCCAATTGTGGATACAACCCACTTAGGGTGGAATCTGTATTTTTTATTAGTCAGCATCATATAACGTTTGTCATTTCTGTAAATATTTTCACTGTTTTCAAGGCAGAAGCTACCCAGTATATTGATGAGTTTATTTTTTTATATCTTTTAATATTGTGTGTGTGTGTGTGCGTGTGTGTGTGTCTTGTACAGATGAGTGAAGATTGAATTTAATATTGTCATGTTTATAATAATATCCTTTGTGAGAAGTGGTTTTTCTTTGTCTGCAAATAGATTGACCTTTGTGCCAACATTCATAGGTTTATATAGCTAGATTCATGTCTTTGTCCATCTTTTCTGTGTAGCATCTCCCTTGAAAGTTGTCATTCTTGTCTACAGTTCATGAGTTCAAGGGGCTTAAAATAGTTTTAGACACACAAAAGGGTTTGGTGATCTTATTACAACTTTACACTCATCAAAATTAGTTTTTTTTTTTTTTTTTTTAAATTTCCCGTTTCTCTCACCGACCACAATCTTTCCTCATCATCTCATTGCTTTCTTTCAAGTCCTTTTTTCCTCACTCCTTCATTTGTTCCATTGTATTTTAAAAAAGAAAAAAAAAAATTTACTGTTATCCAAAATCTCATGTTGGGAAATTCTTCTGAAACTGTTTAGGGCATTTCAGCCTTGCAAACCCATCAGACCCCTAGTTACTGTATTATAAAAGGTTTGTTAGAAGCATTATTACAGATTTTTCCTTTCCTCTGGGATTTTTATGTTTGATTTTTTTATTTATTTATTTTTTTTTTTTTTTTTTAACCTTTCCTTTTCATTCGTGTGTCTCTGTTTTCTGTTGGGTGCAAATCAGTGACTTAAAACAGTTTGAACTGAAGCCTCATGGTTTTGAATGAGTGTACAGCCCAAATAAAATTACCTTGATTATAATGTTTTCTATTTTCTCATACCATAAATTTAGAACTCTTAAGACATTTTCTCAATATTTCTTAATTCTGTGTA